GGGGTTCTGAAACTACAGGCACAAGGATTCACAGACACCCCAACAGTTTTGACAAGGGTTCAGTTCACATCCAAAAATCTCTTAAAGTAGTAGGGCTGCACTATTAGGAAGCCATTAGTTTTGGGAAGGATTTGATTTTTCTGTTTGTCTGTTCCCAGATTGTATAGGTTTGGAAGCAAAAAGCTGATGAAATAGGTTTTCTTTTTTTTTTTTTTTTTTTAAATTATGGATGTTTTTCTTCTGCATTCAACAGAAAATCCAGCTGCCTGACTTTTTTAACAAAAACATCCATATTTCTAATCAGCTTTTTCTTGGATTTGTTTTCTTTGAGCTCCCTGTCACTAAACTGTCTGAATAACAACGTAAGACTTTTTAAGCTCAAACATACATAAAATAGTTTTTAGCCAAGTAACTAGTGTCAGAATTGAAGTCACCAATTGGTGCTTATAGCTGGTCAAATTATTTTGAAAGGGATTTTGGAGCACTGCAATTTGCAGAATCAGTCCTTTGTGGAAGAATCTGTAAATAGTCTTCCAGCCATTCTATAGAACCTGTTTCTAATTATCTGAAGCCAGGGCTGGAGCTCAATATTAAACTTCTTTAGGGATTAGTTTAATTTTGTGAAAACCCAAACATGCTTGAAGGAAAACCTTAATTTTAAAAGCATATGGACTACAAAGAAACTGGAACTGTTGACAAACTAGTGCTGCTCTTGCCATGGCAGAATAATCTGAACTTTTTTCCCCCAAAGCGTGTTTGGCATGTATTAAAGTAGAACACGCTGTTTTGGTTTGGGGTTTTTTGTTGTTTTTGTTTTTAGCAATGTTGTCCAGGAAAAAGTTTGTTGAGGAGATTGGTAGCTCCATCTGCAGGCTTTAGTTTAACTTGTGTCATTAATCTCCTGAAAACATACACTGGATACTTGATCTAGCAAGCAGAATTGTTCTGCTTTTTGTTACCCTAATGAAATTTGAACTGGGTGATTAGGAATAGCATTTTAATTTGCAGTCCACTAGGCTGGCAGTGAGAGCTATGCAGGTCGCTCTTTCTTCCCCTTAAGTGCTCTGTTGATATCAAAAGCATACTTAATTTTTGGTGCAAGACCAAACCTCATCTTGAAAAGGAAGAATCAAGTAGAAAGTGAGATTATTAGATCTTAATTTCTGAGCTAGCAAAGCCAGGGTGTGCTTTCTGTACTCTGTATGTTACTGCTGGCACTTCCAGTGTCCTCTGACATGTAGATAGCTGCAACCTTTTTTCCACTTCAAGTAAGTTCACAGCAAAATCTTGTGCAGCTACAGTACATAGCTTGCTGAGAAATAGACTTTACGTAGCTGTCATGCATAGCAAGGTTAATTTGTCCTGCTTCTGGACTGCTCTTTTAGAAAAGGAGCTTTAGTTCACTTCAGTATATTGATGGTTGTCGAAGTTAACTGATTTAGGAGTATTATTTTCAACTTTTAATCTAATGTAGGAATTTGTGGTAGTCAAACTGCTGTGGTCATTATTTTGATTTGCTCTTTGATAAAACGGATAGATCTGGGAGCTGCAAGGGAAGAGCAGGTGTCAGGTCTTTGTGCTAACCATGGCTGGGTTGAAGGGAGGCGGGTTTTGGGGTGTTCCCTGGTGTGTCCCTCTGCACGAGCTGCCAGTGTGCTGCGATCCCTGCCGCAGCTGCGACAGGTGCAAGGGCGAAGTGCTGCTTGGATTGCAGATCCTTCCCAGGAATTAATGCGTGCTATGAAAAATACCCTTCTGGGGCTCTTGCTGCAGGAAAAAAAAAGTAGCTCTTCTGTTCTTTGCCAGGTACATGTCTAGTAAACAAAGATTGCTCTGGTTTGACATTGGTGTCAGACTGCTTTTGCTAAGTTTATTGCGCCTGAGTGCAAGGGAAAGTACGAAGTTCTGTGTGTGTTTTTACGTGAGCCCAGTAGCTCATTTTTGGCTCATTTAACTGATTTGTTCATATCGGTGTTACTTGGTGTTGAAGTAGCAATTTGGTATTGGATATAGTGCAACTCTTATTCTGCAGGTAGTTAAACTGAAACAAGATCATATGGAAATTAATTTTAAAAGATGCTGACAGTTGTTACTGTTGTGTTTTATTTGACACTTTATTTCCTGTAGTTTGTCATTGTATCATAACTAATACTTGGTAGTTCCTAACAGCAGTATTCTTCACCCAAGTCTTCTGAGGTATCTACAGGTGCCACCTGCCACCTCTGCTTTTCTGGGAGTCAGCTGAATTAAAATACACAGAAGTGGTGATTTTTACAGGGTTGGGAATTACAAGATCATGAGTAGGACTGGATTTTTAATTGCTTGATCAGATTTTCTGCCTCTGTTAAGCCTGGATTTAGGTAATTACTATTGTTTAAGTTTATAAATAGCTACTTTCTTATTTTCAATGCTTTCAAAAAGAACACATTGCTGACTTTGGCTCATGTCAGCATTTTCTACTATCTTTGGTGTCTTTTAGAGTACTAATTGGGATATAGGGTCAATCCAGCAATAAATAAGTTTTATCTTCTGGGGTGTAAAAGTTGTAAAGAAGCAGTTTCTTGGTTAGGACAACGGCTGCCACAGCTTAAATTGATGTAAGCCTTTCAGGTATCTTATTCAAGTATTAAAAAGCTTGTTATGTGGGAAATTGATTTTTTTACTACGTAGTTCTGTGACTTTTTTTTTATAAGTTTATTTCTGTAGTGATTGCTGTTGCGTTATTATACAAAGTATACTTTGTAGGGATTTTGTAGACTTTTTTTTAAGAATTAACTAATCTTGTTTGAGTTTTGGAGCTCAGGATTAAGAATTGTAGATTTGGCTGAAGGAGAGTTAATTTTTTTTTTTGTTCCCTGATAATGAAGGCTGTTGTGAGCAAATAATAAAGTAGCAGTTCAGCTGTTTCTCCCCAAACTGAATGTTAGTGCTAGTGAATGCTAAATGGATGACAAGATGCCCAGGCGGGAATGTTTTCACTAATGAGGTGCTGTCTTGTTTGCTTTGGGTCTTACAGCAAAATAAACTGTAACTGTTATTAAATGCTGGCCAGAAGTGAACAACTAAATTTTTGTTTTCCTACGACAATTATATAGACCTTTCTACAAATGCTTTTACAAAATACTTAATATTTGCAGGTTAATGTTTTGTAAATGCTGTATAATAAACTGAAAGTACTGTAGTTAGTTTTGCAGTCCGTGCACACTTCTGAGGTATGTACATAAACCATTTTACTTGTTTCCAAATGTACTTAGTGTTTATGCTCGGTGTATTGTAGACAGATACGAAGACAAATAGTTACTTCTTTTGGTAGGGACATATCTGCTATGTTTTTCTCTTGAAGCTGGCAAATTACGATGCTACGTGGTATAGCAATCCTTGATGACATGTTTGAGATGGAGTGATTTCAGCTGTAACATTTTGTTAGATGGCTTCTCCGTACAGGGCTGTGATGGTTCTGTTCTACTTTAACATCTGTAAAAGGTCTGAAATGATGAGTACTGCTTGAAAAAACTTCAAAAAGGAGTGGAGGATGGAAAGAGACAGTCATTAAAAGTAATGCAGGCCAGTTGGAAATGGGAAGCAAATTCCTGGAAAAAGGCATTGTGAAAACTTAGAAATGTTCTTCATTTGACCCATGTCTTGGCATATAGAAATGTTCTTTACAGTGTTCTGGAATAAGAAACTCCTGGACTATGATTTCTGCTTCAGCAGAGAGCACTGAGCACGTTGCCTACTTTCCATATCTGGAAGAAAGGTTAGCTGTTCTTGCTTGCTGTGTGTTGTCTTGGTTCATTTTTTGTAGTAGTGCTCTAAATACGAAAACGGTATTCTTCTACAAAAGGTAATTCAGCCAGCTTATTATCTGGTCAACACCTATGTGCAGTGGATTGTACTAAAAGTCTGTGGTAATGTTGGTGTTTGGGGAATTGGCAAAAAAACAAACAAAACCCAAATGTTTTATCACAAAGCAAGCAAAAATTATGGCAATTTCCTGGTAGCCACTGTGAAAGACTGAATGTCAAAAGTCTTTGTAAGGTAAAAGGCAAGATTTCTCTCTTTCATGGATGTTTAGATGGATGGACATGATAACAGCGCAAAAAAAAAGGTCTGTGATGTGGTGGTATTTATTTTGTTTTTTTCAAAGATTGGTAAGCATGATTTAGAAAACACTAAACCTTGCAATACGTCCTTCCCTCTTGGGTGAGAATAGGGCTTAATCGCCGTTTCAGGGAAAGTATAATCTTAAAGTAGCCTTGAAACCTTTTTTCAATGAAGTAAACAGAAAACATTAATAGCTTTAAACAAGTTTATTTCATGGTTGAACAGAGTAAATGACATTCTTGCTGTTAGATCAGAGGTTTAATAACATGGAGTAATTTATGAGGTTGTGTTTACTGTTGTTTTCTTTTCTGAAACTTGCACCCCTCCAGCAGTGCATGGAAGGATTCTGAAATGTAATTGTAGACCTGTCAAAACAGCTCAGAGTGGACTGGTGGCACCCTTTGAAGACGGCGATATGCTGATGGATGAATTTGTCAGGAAAACAATTGTTTCTTTTGGCTTGTGGATTCTCTTTAACAATATGGGAAAATACTTAGTCCTGAATCCAGTAAGACCATACATATGAGCTGAGAGAAATTACTTCACTACGGCTGTACAGATGTAATGACAGCAATTAGTATGTATATAACAGGAGGTGGGATGGGGGCAGGGGAGGTGGAGGAAGGAAGGAAGAAGTAGACTTAAAATTTTGAAAGCTTGAATAACCATTCTAAAAGCTATGTTCTTTATAAAAGTACGTGAAAGAATTCATGGTGAAGTGGGTGTTGAACTTTTGCAACATATGAGCTCTGCTGAAATGCTTAAGATATGATGAACATTTTGGGTACAGCACTGGATAATAGTTTAAGGAAGCTAGACTCCTGTTGATCGTTGGTGGCAGTAAGTACAACAATGTACATACAAAGATGCTTCAGTGCATTTTCTTCTCATTTCAGGTTTGCTTCCTCATTTCATAATTGACAAAGCTGAGACGGTGAAACCTGACTGTTGAAGGGTGCAAGGTGTGAACCTGCTTAAGCAGGTAGGCACATAATAGAAAATAAAATCTTCAAAATTGTCAAAACTGCCTGTCTTGGGATTCGGAACATACCTTCTTAGATCCCTTCTATCCTGAGCATACTGCAGGTCGAACTGTATCGGTTGAATTCTTTTTTTCATTGTCAATGTTGCTGTGCAAAAAGGACTATACAGATTTTGAAGAAAAAACTCAGCCTCAAGTCTTGCAGTGTTTTGACTTGTCTTTCCAAATAGCTGTGAAATACAAGGGTAAAATAGAACAATGTTGTGAAATAATCTTGGATGTCCTGGAAGAAGTAGTACCTAGGGGTTTTTTTAATGCTATGTTGAATGATTTTTGGATTTACACCCTTGTGACTTTTGGGAGAAAAGGAATGCTTTCCCCTATATACCTTAATTGGCCAAATTATGAAATGTAATACGGATCTAAATTCCCCTGACCCATATTCCCCGCCCTCCCTTTTGTTCTTTTGCCGCAGCGTTGCACTCATTACAGTCAGTGGCCATAAAAATTCTCCTTAAATTCTGAAGCTGTGGTAGCTAGTGGAAGTGTGCAGCAGTAAGAGGCTCTTGATGGTGACTTTTTTCCCTTGCTGTGGAGCAAAGTTGAACTGTTCTTTTGAGTTCTGTCAGGAGACTTAAAACAGGTAAAACATTAACTTTCCTGACACAGTTTCATGACAATAATTTGTCTTCTGGACAAAGTCCAGTGTGGTGGCTTAGTAGGAGCATTTGCTCTTCTATTGTTTTCACCCCTTTGAGTGGTATGATGGATTGCAGTGAGGATTTAAAAATGGAGAAGGCAAACTTTGCTTCTTGAGATAGCCTCCAAATTTTAGGAGATGCTTATTTTGAGAGTGAGAGGCGTCCAGGTTGTTGGTTCTCCATCTCAACACCCCTCATATTTGTCAGTAGGGCTGATATGAATGGCATCACAGAATTGGTCTGGATTAAAAATGTTCTTGTAAAACAGAACATTTGTAACCTCTCTCATGACATGGATTAAGTTTAGAATTTAGATGAACAATTAATTGTATTGGCAGGGTGGGAACTTTGTACATGGGCTTTGTTGCTAAGGTTAGTAATTAGTCAAACTGCACATCAACCCAAATATCCTTGGAGACATCTGTGTTAAATTTTGTTATAGTTCTAAAGAAGTAGAAATGGATGTCTGCAGAAGACCATCCACAAAGGTTACTGCTAAACATCAAAGAGGGTTGATTCTGGCCTTGTCTTCACTTTGTAGATGACTTGAGTCGCTTACAATTCTCATCCTTGGAGAAGACCCTTTACAAACTTGGCTTTTATATTTTTTTCTTTGTAGATATTAAAGATGCACAGTGCTTTTAAGACAAATGTCTTGTACAACTTATTCTCTACTGAGTTCACTGCCTTTGTAATTCCCTTTCTGAATGGCACTGTTTGTAGTGTGGCAAAAAAATGTTATCTTAAAGCAGCTCAAGAACTTCCAGAATGAAGTAGCTTGTATAAATATTACTAAAACTACAGGCAGAACTGATTAGCCTGTGTTGCCTGCTTTCCTTCACAAGAAACAGGTTTGAAGAGTTCCAGGTGTATGCCTTGGGGTCAGGGTGGGAAATCTTTGATGCCAAGAAGGGGTTATAAGTAACGTAGCAATGTTCTGCTGCGAGAAATCAAATTCACTTGAGTTACTGTTTGCTGTCAAAGACTTTCACAGCTCAAGCAAACCTTCTGCCTTTACTTTCCTTAAACTATGGAAGAAGTGTTCAAATTTGCTTATTCCAGTAAGAGATGTTTGCCAGTTTGTCTTACTGTTCAATGAAGCGTTGACTGTTGCTTGTTTTCAAATAAGACTGAACTTTACACCTTTGAGTTGATGGTACTCACAGCACATGGCAATCTACAGATTTCCATGTTTTCTGCTGAAATGTCCATGTTTCTTACAATAAGAATCTCAAAAAAAAAAAAAAGCTTAGTAACTTGCTTTGGCAATGTACTTTCAGCAGCCTAAACAGCTAGCTGTTAGATTTCTCTCAGTGACCAACTTCAGTGATTTCAGATCTGGCTTGCAGTAAACACAGCTAGTTTTAAGTCTGTGTGGTTATGAGTGAACTTCGCAAACTCATTTGGAATACAGATTGTTTTTTCAGACTTGGTGTGCGTTGCATTATGAGGTATGTTACATAATGTAGTTTTATGGCAGATAAACAAGATGTCAAGCATCTGTTTTCCAATAGGGAAATACCTTACCAGAACTTTTAAATTCAGCATGGTCAGTATCAGTGCTGGTATTTTTGAATGTGAGACTATACTGCTTGGGAAGATCTGCTGGACAGCTTATAACTGCATCTTCAGAAAAGACAAACCAAAAAAGAACCATTTTGAAAATTGCTGGTAATGCTTCCAGGAGTGCATCTCCACCAGATGTGTGCAGTCATGCTCGTCTCTGCTGGGAGATGAGACCTGGGTCAGGCAACCGTGTCCCTTTTGAGGTAGAGGTGGAGCCCCTGGCACGGGAAGGCAGTTCTGTAGCTGTAAGCAGGAAGGAAATGTGACCTCTAGCAGAGCAGATTGCTATGGAGACTTGTCGTTAGCACTGTGTAAATGCTTCTCCTGCAGTCCCCACTCAGGATCAGACACATTCTACCCTCCAGTGTTTCAAAAAGCAGCATCCTGGGCCGAGTGAACTATGTGAGGCTATATGCATATGCGTGCTTTGGGGGCACAGCATCATGTTCAGTGGAGAAACCTAAATGGTAAGGTAACTGAGCAGCCACTGCTGCTCTCACAGTTTGCCTTTGCTTCATTTACAGGCATCTTTCTTTAAAATCAGAGTAATCCTTAGGATGTTTTATAAGAATAGATTCTTCCAGAACAGTTTCTTATTGCTTACCAGCTGAACGCGTTTTATCTGAGTCAGCCATTAATTCTTAGAACAACTAAATATATATCGCAGTTAAGTTTACAACTGCAGTGTTAACACTGGGGAGCTGAAATGACTCCAATATTTAGTTTCTTTAACCTTTTGAGTGCTGATAGAGCATAGCAACTCAGTTTCTATTCTAGTAGGAGTTACCTCACATGGTAGGAATGAATTGACTTCAAAAATATTGACAAAGATAAAAAAAACTTATAAGATGAGAGCTTTTGACATGCATCACACATACTAAACTAGTGTTTGGCTAGTAAGTGCTGTGGATCAAAGCAAAATACAAAGAATTTCAAACAGCTCAAAGTGATACTTTTCAAAACTATTTTGAGGCCTTCTCAGGACTTAACTGAGACTTACTGCCACTTTTACTGTGCTCAGGCACTCAGTCTAACCATGTGCTTTTTATTGCAAAATGATGTAGTTCAGAGAGGAGCTGTGGTGCAAGCTGTTGTAATTATATTAGTCTATTAAAATATTTCAAGTAGCACAGAGTTCAGTGTAAGTACAGGCAACTCACAGATGATGATATGTCGAAGTGTAGTTTGTTCTTTAACTGCAGGGTTGTCATTCAGTAGAGCTATCCTGAAATTACACAGTTTATGGGATATATTTGTAATCTCCTTACAGAATGTAGGGTTTTTTTTCCTGGGTTTATTGTCTCAAAGCCCCTCAGGATTCAGTTGGCAGCAGCTCTCTGATTCTGAGAGGCAATTTAGATCATTTTCCTGTATCTTCTAGTTTTTGTGTTACCATTTGTTTCTTCTGCTTCTCTTCCATGTTTTGATTTACTCTGCTAAACTTCTGATTGTTTTGGCCAGGTAGGAAATGTTGCTGTTTCAATAGATGTGTTTAGTAAATTAAAAGGAAATATTTATAAATGGTCCTTTCACACATTCTTTCCCTGAAAAATGACCATGCATAAGAGTGAACTTCAGTGGTAGTGCTTTTTGATTTTTTTTCATCCTGGTGTGACTTATTTTTCCCTAATAAAATAGGAAACTTTTTTTTTCCTACATACTTTATCGTGTGGAATATATTAAAATACTTCAGGTGAATTGATATAGCATCTTTAGTATAGTGAAAATAAAGAATGGGGACATGTAACATGATTTTTAAAATAAAAGCCAACTTCCCATTTCTGGAAAGTACCACCTCTCATGATGAGGAACTTAGCCAGCAGTTGCTCCTGTGCCAGGCGTTGTGCTGTTCCTGAAAGTGCCCTGGCAGTAGTTGGAGTATTTAGTAACCATATATGTAATGTGGCTTTGGAGAGTGAGGGAAAGTGAAGACGTTGCAAGTCAGTGCACTGGAATTTGCTTAAAATGGATGCAGCTGCAAAAGTACTCGATTGGTTGTGTTTATATACCTAAATGTCTCTATTCTTAATCAATAGGTGAAGAAAAGGATAAGCTTTTGCTAATATAGTTCCTTTTTTCTTTCTGGCTCTAATTTGTTAGTCACTTTTCCAGAAAAACTTGTTGATAACTTTCCTGCAGTACTCAGTTAATGCAAATGTTTTCTTTACAATCCTTTTTCTAATTCCCAGAGCAATCTTAGTTTTTCCCCTCTCTAGAATGTGAGTGATGAATGTTGCAGAGTGTTTTTCACAGGTGCTCAGGTTTTGGCAGTTTGTTGTCAAAATGCCTCTTTGTTCATTTCATTATTTGAGATGCTTTTTAGCCACTGCAATAAATAAAGTAACTTACAGTGTGTAATCTCTGGACCATCACAACAATTATTGATGCTTGGTTTTCTCAGGGGCTCCATGATCTCATGTACTTGCACAGTGTTTATTTTATTCTCTCCTAGGGCAGCAGAGGCCAAGGACTTCTGCTTACTTAAATAGAGCAGATTGTTAAGGGGTCTCAAAGCCACAGGCAGTTGTGGACTGCTGTGTATGTTAAAAACATTGATTAGATTTTTACTGTGGCCCTTGTGTATTTTAAGCTTCTGTAAGTAACGTGAGAGACGTGCAGTATTTTACTCACTTTGAGGGGACAAAATGCAATTTCTTATAGAAATTCCTAAAGAGTTCTGTAAAATGCAAAATAAATTGTTTCTGATGTTGTGAATGAAAGTTATGTGTTGTTTAGAGAGCAAGTTTTCTTCTCAGCTTTGTCAGCTATCTTTGGAATTTCAGAGTTCAAATCTTGATACCAACTGCTAATGTGGAATATTCAACAATCCAAACACTTAACTCAAACTAGCACTTAGTCCCTTTTCCAGCCCACTGCTGAAACCTCTGGTTTCTAGGAATGGAAATAAAGGAGGCTGGGAATTTAATCTGAGGAGCGAATCCCCTCAGTGGAGTGGAGTCCCCTTCTTCCATGCCAAGTCAGCAGCCAAAGCATTTTGCATTTAAGCTGAAGAGCTATACCTGGAACTGACAGGGGTTCAAAACCTGCAGCATATTTTGCAACATGATCAAATTTTAAATTGTAAGGAATTTTGTGTATGGCTGGGTACAGTGATTAAAAGGTCAGCTATTCCTACAGTTGAGAAGCGCTGTAATGGCTGGACAGAAAAGGCTCTAGAGCTCTTCC